CAGTGAGGATCTGTCGAATTTTCTCCAAGTCCAAAATACAGGGTACTTCGATAACAGAGATCAGAAGCATGAGAAGAAAAAACAGAAACTAGTAAATGTAGACAGGGTAACCTGGTCGCAAGAGAATTTGAAAAGCACGAAGAAACTAAAGAACAGAAAGCGAACTTCAATGTACGGAAGGAAGAAGCTGCGAAAATTCTACCCACATAAAGTTAAATACAAAGATAAGAAAGCCAGAAACAAACCAGAGTACAAAGATTACTCAGATGAAAAACTGTCCATGTCCGTAGAAATCCCTGACATGACTTTGACGAAGAAACACCAACACTATTCGTACAAAATGGAGCCAGCCGATCCACCGGTTTGGAGGATAGACTATACGAAACACGGCGATCCAAGTTACAATCTTCTGGGATCCATAACAAAAACTGGGTCCAATAGGGTCGTGGACGACAAAGAGCTGGAGCAATCGGCGAGGAAAGATGTCATGCATCCAGACGTATATATTAAGACGAACTTTATTAGAAAGAACTCGGAGTTGATAGACTAAGCTTTACGTTATGTGGAGGTAATTTAAAAGAAGGTGAAGTGGTTCACCAACGCTGTTATACACATATTAAAATGTTTAATAAAACTTTATCGTCTTCGTTTTTTTTCTTTGGTCATGGTTTCGTGTTATTATATATTTGCCAGTGTCAAGTAATAAGAAATTATCCGATATAATATTAACATCTTTACTTCTCTCCACAATATGTGAGATTTATAATACGTCACATTTCAAAGTTTTTGGGAGATTTTGACGAATTTTAACCCAGCGGACAGTGGATGACTTTCCACTGGTTTCCCTAATAGTGCATAAAATCGCATCATTTTTACGTATCAACATCAACTTCAAACCATATAAATTAACCCAAAACTCCGTCGTGGTCGTTATTAACTAAAATATTATTGTTATATGCTTTTGTGTAGCTAAAATCAACAGTTTTATTTAGTCTTGTTGACAAAATCAAACAGTTAATTCTGAAATGCTGATTGTCGAATGCGAGCTTATGGTACGAACTTCCATCTTATTCACATTCTCAGGAAACGAGACCAAGGAGAAGTGAGATTGGAATCCTAAATCAATAAAACTTTTAATAAAATCCTAATGCTACAGAACAAATAATAAACCGTGTAGTAGGAGTTTATTGCTTTCTTGGTGTATGTAACCAAAAAGTTTTCTTTAACTTTTTGGTTACAGGAATAAATCATAGAATATTATTAACGCTTGTCTCAACACGTTACGAATTAGGATCCCATTACTTTTTTGTGTGTTTTTTTTTTTATAGGATAAAGGTGACAAACGAGCACGCAGTCCACCTGATGGTAAGTGAATGCAGTAACCCATAGACATCTACATCTATCTTCGATTAATAATCAAAATGCATATGCGTTGTCGCATATGCATTTTGATTATGCGAGGTGCATCTTAGTGCGAGGACTAAGATGAAATGCCTCGTTTCCAGTAAAAAGGGTCTCTGTATCGGTAAGTATAGTCCTTCATTATACGAGTATAATAATATTAAAGATGAGAAATTTGATATGTTAATGTGCATATGTTAATGCGGCCACGCTTGGACGGCGGGTTAACAAGCCCTGTTTTTTATTATTTTGAACAGTGCTCAGAAAGACGCTGTTGTCCATCTTCTGTTTCAACTTCCCTCTGTCGCCTCTACGACACCTGAACCATTTAAATTTCTCCTGTATCGTGGAGGCGTTTTATATTGATAAATTTCACGTGGATAAACATCCAAACTAGGAACAAATACTTTGTATGTCCTACAAATAATTTTTCCGAGCAAGAATCAATTCCACGGCACACAGCGCCGCAGAGGGTTAACATTATATTTTTACTAACACGCTTTTATTAACTTGGTATGTATCTACGTAACAGAACTTTTGAATGCAATAATTTAAATAGTTTGTCCCATTATCCTTGCCAGGATCCTCAGGATTTGCGAATATTTCATAAAATAACTATGATTTCTGCCAGTTCAATCTACTGTAAGCCGCGTAGCAAAACATCATTCCAAAAAAGAAACAAAAATACACGCTTTTGTAGTTAGCCGCACTAAAAAATAGAAAATAAATAATAGTTTAAAAAAACTAAAAAAACACGATTTTGTAGACAACCGAACTTAAAAGTAGAAAATAATTTTCAATAAGCTTAAAATAATAAAATAGTGTAACATAAAAAAAAATATTTTATTGTAAAAAAAACGTGGGGTGCTTTTTCAAATATTTTTATGATTTCGCAAATTGTACAAATACCTATCCACAAACATATTATTTTCAACAAATGACATGAAGCACCCCACGCTTTTTTACAATAAAATTAATTTTTATGTTAATCACTATTTTCTTATTTTAAACATAATGAATATTATTTTCTACTTTTTAGTTCGGTTATTCTACAGATGCGTGTTTTTTTTAACGATTATTTATTTTAATTGGACTTTACAAAGCACGTTTTAAATATCGAGTAAACTACGCCGTCACATCGCTTGAACAAGTCCATACTACGGAGGACCTTGTGAGAAGAAGCGCCGGAGACAATATAATAAATTAGAATATAATTAAATCTATTTTCTCATCGGTCATCACAAACAGGTACATAATTATTCATGATAAGCCCATGCTTATTTATACGCTAATAACTTACTTAAAAATACTCGAAGTGAGAAACACATGTGCGGTACCTACGTCGCATTGGCGGCCCGTGTTGCTTTATGATTAACGTACTGAACCAGTTTGTGAAAGACCGTACTTAGTACTATTATTTATTCTGTGCCGTGGTGCCTAATAAAGGTATTTAACTGTTTTGTTATATTGTAGTTGTATATTGTTATATGTAGAGTTTAAGATACCTTTAATACAGCTGGTGTTAATTGTGACAGAATTTGATAGGCGAATGCTAAGAGTGGTGATTATGTACAACTAATTCTCCTGCTATAGATGAAAGGTACATGCCCAGCTGTGAGCTGTTTATGGGCTGAAGAGCAAGAGTAGCTATGATAAGAAACTAAGTTAGTAAATCGACAACCTTTGACACGAGAGCAGGCGGCACAGATATTTTCGCCTTCAACCGACCACACCACTTTAGACAAAAACCGGATTAACATCTAGTTATTTAGCGCGTTTTCTTTTTTTATATAGAATAATAGGTAACAAACGAGCAATCTCCAGTTCTCTACATTTACCATACTAAACACAGCAGCATTAAGCTGGTATTTTATACTGGTATTTTGTGAGAGCAATCTCCAGTTCTCTACATTTACCATACGAAACACAGCAGCACTAAGCTGGTATTTTATACTGGTATTTTGTGAGAGCAATCTCCAGTTCTCTACATTTACCATACGAAACACAGCAGCACTAAGCTGGTATTTTATACTGGTATTTTGTGAGAGCGTGTTTTTTCCTCGGTCGAGCCGGCCCATTCGTGTTGCAACCATAATATAGCTGCAGCATGACTCTATGACTCTACCACGTTGTAAATCTACGTGGTTATACTTAATTGGAAAAAAATATTGTTTAAATTATTAAATACAAAAAAAAATATTATTACAACTAATGTCTAACAAAAGTAAAATCAAAACTAAGGTCTTTAAACTGTGCGTGCTACAATTGCTTGCTAACAATCATCGGGCGGCGTTATCTGTATCTCGTGCTCGGCTCGGCGCTCAGCGCTCGGCGACGTTCCCGCCAACCCGCCATTCCCGCCGCGCGGTGATATCGAATCCACGACAGAATTGTAAAGCGGAGGATACACGCGTGCAGTTATTATTCAAGAATATTAGTCGAAAGCTTAATACTTATTGGTTTTATTAAATAAATACTAATTACCAATGAGTTCGTTTTTGTGTATTACAATTATAACTCTAAAACCAATTCTTAAAACTAACTGTTAAACCAACTCTCGAATCTATTTTTCAAACTTTACTTTACGTGGTAGAGCCATACTGCAGCTATATTAAGAATATAGTTGTAGCACGAATGGGTCGGCTCGACCGGGGAAGGACCACGCTCTCACAGAATACCAGCGTAAAATAGCAGCTTAATGCTGCTGTGTTTCGTATGGTGAGTGTAGAGAACCGGAGACCCATTTTACTGGAAAAGAGGCAATCTATCTTAGTCCTCACGGCTGACAACGCATCTGCATTTTAATTCGCAAACAAAAATAGATGTAGATGAATATGGGTCACAGCAACCACTTACCATCAGGTGGACTGTGTGCTCGTTTGTCACCCTAATTATATTTAAAAAAAAAACATAAAAGTGTTGGTACATATTTACGCGTGAATTTGATAAATATGTAGGTACTACGGCGTTTCTACTCACTAACGGTGTCACGTACCGGTTACGGTATTAATAATCAAAGTAAATAATATCAAAGTAATAAATTACGTAATATCTACTACTTTAATTTGAACGACAGCAATATACAAATGATAAAGTCAAAGAGTATCATAATATTCTTCTACGTTCAGTGCACATAATCCACCTCTGGATCTAAACCACTCCCATTGTAGGAAGGATTTATATTACTTATTTAAAATTATATTAATATCAAAAAATACAATACAGGTAATATAAATATGTGTCTACACATATTCTATTGCCTGTATTGCCAATACCGTATCCGAATAGTTGTAGTCGATATATATAGTTTAATAATTAGGAATGACAATACTTTCATTGAAGTCAAATGATACGAGTGCCAACTACTGTAAGTTAATTGTACTATACCTATAACCTTCGCGGAAGTGCATGCAATATATTGACAAAGTTTTACCGCAATCTGATGAAAGATATGGCAGCGTATAAAATACGAACAAACAAATATTAATTTTCATATATCTCCATTGTAACCGCACCTTACAGTATTATCTTCATACTATTTGACCTCGTTTATTAAACAGAGAAAAGTTCTTAGTTATTTCTCAGCCGACACGGAAACAATGTCACGGCCCATCCTCTCCACACACGTTCTGGACACGTCCACCGGGACGCCCGCAGGGGGACTCTTTGTAGAATTACTCAAGAAGAGAGACGATACGTGGACGCTATGGCATAACACAGTGACAACATGCGACGGGAGGATACAGTTTCCGTTCTCGAAGGAGTCCATGGCGCCAGGGACTTACAAGTTGAAGTTTAATATCGAAGACTATTACAAAAAGTCTGGCAAAACTACGTTATATCCTTATGTTGAGGTAAGCTAATACTACAATTAACTATGGGATGCATACATTTTGATATGCTACCGCTAGTAAAATATATTTGACAACAATGTGGCCTGTAGAACACCACTGCTGAGAGCTATCGCGTCTAACTTCAATTCCCAGCCGAAAACAACGTTAGTACAAAAATCCATATATCTATCCATTGCAGCCTATAAAAGTCCACCGCTGAACATAGCCCCCCCCCCCCCCCCCAGATTTTGTCACGGTTGCCACGCTTGACAGGCGGGTTGGCAACTACATTTTTTTATTATTTTGAGTTATCTGCAAGATGCTGATGCCCATCTCCTGTATCAGTTTCCCTTCTATCGCCTCTAACGAGACACACGGGATGATATAGGGTGGTATATATTCTTACCCCACTACTACACGATTTAAAGTTACCGGCTATTAACTTTCTACCTGCCGCTATATTATTTTCTATTCTACTACTTCTGCTACCTTGATATTGTTTATTTGACTATATCCAAATCTACTAGACTATATATGCAGTCTAGATCAGTGCTGCTTGGTTGGCACCAAGTATTATTCCGTTCTGTGAGTGATTTTTTTTATAGAATAAGGTTGACTAACGAGCACACAGTCTACCTGATGGTAAATGGATGCTGTGGCCCATAGAAATCTACATTTATCCTCAATTAAGTATCAAAATGCAGATGCGTTGTCAATTCTTGGGGACTAAGATGGAAAGGCCTCTTTACCAGTAAAAAGGATCTCTGGTTCTCTACACTCATCATACGAAACACAGCAGTATTAAGCTGCTATTTTACGCTAGTATTCTGTGAGAGTGTAGTCCTTCCCCGGTCCAGCCGACCCATTCGTGCTACAACTATACTACTAATATAGCTGCAGCGTGGCTGTACCACGTTGTAACATCCATCACCGTTCTTCAATAAATTATTTTCTGTTACTGTTTTGAAAAATCTGAATATACATTTTTATTTGTTTTATTTTCAGTGTAGTTTCAGTAAGTTTCGAGTCAGCTGACAATGCTTATAAAAATTCGCTAAATATTTTCATAAAAATTGTACCAAATGAGGGTTGAATTTTCCAAAATCCTGTTGGATGCCTTCGTCATAAAATGCAACTACATACTGTCAAAATTTCAGATTTCTATGTTCAGCGGTTTGGGCTAGGCGTTGATGAGTCAGTCACTCGGGACATCGTCTTTATATACAACATGTAACAAAAACCCTGTGGTTCCCGTTAAGTACGTTATCAGGATCAGTATTCAAACCTATAGAAATAACTTTTTTTTTAAAAACTCTACCATTTTTTTTATTTAATTTTTTTTTAATTTTATATGGTTTTATTACCTTTTACTGACACTAGCCGAAGCTAAAGCTAAGTAAAGCGGGGTCTTTGACAATCCTCTTACTCCCCAGACAATGACAGAGGTAACATATACTTACAATTTGCATACATTATTTTTAATAAATGAAATAAAAAAAATATTGTTAGTTTTAAAAAAAAGTTATTTCTATAGGTTTGAATAATGATCCTGATAACGTACTTAACGGGAACCACAGGGTTTTTGTTACATGTTGTATATACATAGTATCAATTGTCATTAGGTACTTAGAATATCAAAATCAATGCGTAAGCGGGTACCGTTAAAGCTAGAACCTAAGTGGATACTTTGTACTTATCGACAGCGTTGTTATAAAATGTGATACTGTAGTTGTTAGGTACTTAGTATTTTTTATTTAATTTTATTAAGTATGTATTTAATTTTTAAGTTGTAATTTTCTGGATGGATGTTGGTTACTTGGTTATTACTTCGTTTTATTTCTTTTTGCCTATTACCTATTACTTTTTTTTATGTTTTGTGCTGCGTGCTTAAACTGGAATTTCTTTAATTTAAGTTTTAACACCATTGATAAATTAAGTTGATTTTTCTGCAACGCGCTATGACGCTAAACTTTTGAAACTCAAACGTAATGAGTAAAAAAATACTATACATATCTAAAATATTACAAATTATTCCACAGATAGTGTTCAACACGACAGAGGGGGCACACTACCACATCCCGCTATTGCTCAGTCCTTACGGCTACACCACTTACAGGGGAAGCTGAGCAGAGCAGAGCAGAACCTTGCATCTTTTTTTTTTATAGAAAATAAACTTGACTTTTCTAATCGATTTACATTTTATTTATACAAAACAGTGTCACCTCTTTAATGGTCAAGCCAGTCAGTGTAGGTACTTGGCTAACAATAACAAATCATTTATTCATCTTTTACACAATCATTTTCAACTAAGGGTTACAAAGGGCAGAGGCCTCATGGTATTAGGCACTAGCAACGCGATTAAAAAAAAACGAAATTTAAATCATGTGAACTCTACGCGTGACAAATTGGCGTGACAAATTAATTAATACTTGCCACGGCAAGTATTAATTAATTTGTCACGCCCTTGACCTTGAACCGACAGTAGTTTTCTTCAAATTAGTAGTACCCAAGTGATCCAAGTAAGTAATATAATTAGCTATTTATTGATAGATCAATTTGTCTACGTCTACGAAAATCAGAAAAATGTCTTTAATAGGCTTTCACTTTATTTACCTATTAGCCTATTACACACTTCTTTAACCTGTTTGATTGCCTCCTTGATCTAGTGGTTGTAAACGCGTTTGCTGATCCTGATGTCCCGGCTTTGAATCCCGGGTTGAGCCAAAAGTAGTTATTCGGTTTTTCTGTCAAGAAATTCTTCGTATTTCGGTCACGGCGCCCGGCCTCAACTCTAAACGGAGACGTAATTGTGTTCTGTGCGCACCACCATTTGCGCAGGACAGGATTAGTGCCCAAGTGTATGAGAGAGTTCAACTCTCCATTCTATCACTCGATGGGACAGTAATCCGACACGGCCGGAGAAAAATCAGACGCAGGAGCAACGGCATTGCGAGCTTTTGACTCGGTTCTGCTACTGAGCAATTCGTGACAGAAAAACCCCAGTAACTGATTTTGGCCCGACCCGGGAGTTCATGATCTGTAATCGCGTTTACAAACACTAGACCAATTCAAGTCAACTTTTCATTAATTACTTACTTCTTACTTGAGATCAACATCAGCGCCATCTATCGGGTCCAATTATGAATCTAAACTAACCCCATTCAAACACAAAAATTCATCAAAATCGGTCCAGCCGTTTAGGATGGAGGAGTTCAGTCGCAAACACAAGTTTTCAGGTTGGTAGGGATACCTTTTAACACCGATATATATAACATCTAACAAAAACCCTGTGATTCCCATTAAGTGCGTTATCTGAGTCCGTATTCAAACGTAAAGAAATAACTTTTTTTTAACAAACTTGAACATTAAAAAAATATTTTAATTAAAAAAATGTGAAAGACCTTCCCTTCACCGATGCTCACGTCAGTTAGAGGTATCAAAACCACATACAATTTGCAAATTATTTTTTTTTTAATTAAAATTATTTTTTTTAATATTGAAGTATTTTTGAAAAAAGTTATTTCTTTACGTTTGGATACTGACTCTGATAACGCACTTAAAAGGAACCACAGGGTTTTTGTTACACGTTGTATAACTCAATACCTTTTTATCTTTACTCGTTATTCTTTCTTTTATTTTTATCTAATTATTTTTATGGGTTGTCAGGAAGAGATTGCCATCTTTACCTATATAGTATAAACCAACCCGCCGTCTGTACGCTTAGATCTTTTATACTAGGTATCTACGCAACGGATTTTAATACAGTTTTCATCAATAGACAGAATGATTCAAGAGGAAGGTTTATATTATGTATATAATACATGCATTTAGATATATAATTTTTCTGTGCGCGTGTATGTCTGAACTCCTCCTGAACGGCTGGACAGATTTCAGTTGTCGAGATCCAGAAATCACCCGTGCGAAGCCGGGGAGGATCGCTAGTGTAGCAATAAGACCGCCTTTCGTTTTCCCTTGATATTTGTTTATTTTTGTTATACTTATCGTTCCTTGGTGAACAATAAAGGGTATTGTATTGTGCATGCACTGTTATGGTGGCGCCGTAAGGGAATCCGTCAAAAATTCCAGAATCCATCACCCTATTCGTCACGCTTATAGCTTCCGATAGATGGCGGTATAACTAACTCGTTAACGACGAAGGAAATCAGCGCTTACCACTCGAGTTTCATGTCCAGCAGTGCACACATTATGATAAAACTTCTAGTTTATATAAACTAAGCATTAAAACTAAGAAAATAATAATAATAATAATAAAAGTTTATTTCTTTAACAAAGTTTGTTTTAAATCCAGAACATAGGTTGACTCATTCTTTTAAGTGCATTTGCACCTGTGTCAGAAGGAGCCACTCTTCCATATCACATTTGTGGTATTTACGAGTATAAATGAAGAATTAGGTAACAAATACAACTTATCTTTATCATAAGTATGTAAATTATGATTGAGACAAAATATATACTTGTAAATATATATATATATATATTTACAAGTATATATTTATATACTTATATATATATATATATATATATGTGCAGTCACAAAAATGTATTTCAATGTGTGAGTTTATGTATGTATTTTGTGTGTGTGTGTGTGTGGGAGCGTGATTGCATGGATGTGTGCGTATGTGTGTAGATAAATTTATCATTTAAGAAGAAGTTCAGTTTCTGTGTATTGTAGTTTTTTAAGCCAAACAGTTAAATTTATTTTACATTCCCTGCTCGTCACTGGATATAGATTTAAATTTTGATTGGAGCGGTTGTATAATAACGATGACAAATACTGAAATTGATTTCTTGCGAATTGAGTATGAGTAAGTTTAACTGTGGCCACATTATTATGTCTTCTTTTATGCAATATGCTCGGATCAAATTTTAATGACTTGTGTTTTTTTACTACAGTATGGAGAATATATAGTTTTCTAATTGTTAAGATATCAGCAACGGAATATAGAGCTTGTGTTGCAAATCTACGATTTTTAAAATACATCACCTTTATTAATGCTCTTTGAGCCCGTTCAACCACGAGAAATTTAGTTTTTAGAACCCCCTCCCTAAACTGTCAGACAGTAAGTTAATATGGGTTGAGCTAATGCCATATACACTTGGTTGATAAGTTTCTTGTCGGCAACATGTCTCAGCATTTTAAAAATCCACATCAGCTTACGTGTTCTAGTCGCGACGAGATCAATATGCGACTGCCAGGAAAGTTTTTGGTCTAGCATAATACCAAGATATTTAGTTGATGCTACCTTAGATATATAGGGACAGCGACAGTTAGCATCCCTATCACAATCATAGATATGTATTTTAATGTTTAAATCATTACTGGGTTGATTACTGTCTAAAATTGAAAAACACATGTAATTAGTATTTTGTGTGTTTAGTGTCAACAGATTAGTTCTAAGCCACTCACCAATTTCTGATAACCCATTTTCAGCCTCAGTTTTCACTGCAGTCCAAGATGATCCATAAAAAACCGCAGCAGTGTTGTTCAGATGACAGCGCCATCTATCTCATACCATGTACAACAAACTAGCGACATCTAGATCGCCCGTACTGTAACTAGGAAGTAACCTAACCATTGTATCGATCACAGAGTGTGTTAGTTATAGAACCTAAGCAATTAGTTCCATTGTAATACCGCTGAGGGCGCTGTACGAGACTATAAATATGAAGAGCCTTGCCAAGGCTCGTTCATTTTGATCGATTGCACAACAATAAAACATATATTCCAAGAGATCGCAGTCTTTGCTGTAACATATTTTTTGGTGACCCCTACTGCAAGAAGGGCAAAAAAAGAAAAAAGAAAACGCAGAGGCCAAGCAGATATCCACAAGGAGAAGAGCGACGTAAAGCGGACATCGTTGAACGGCTGGCTAATCGCCCGCCCGACCAGCAACTCCGACAACGTGGCGCGTGGCACGTGGCGCGGTGGTGAAGCATCGTGCGAGGCGCGTGGCCGCGAGGTGCGAGGCCGCGAGGCTACAAAGCTTCGAGGCTGCCCTGGACACAAAAAAAAACGAGCACGGGAACCGAGTGCCGTGCATCGTTGAAGAAGAAATCGGGTACCACAAGACTTCAATTGCCTGGTGAGACCTTTCCTTTCTTCTTTTACAAGCAAAGAGAGCTGCGATCTCCCTCACAGGACTGCAATTCGGCGTCGCTGTGTATCAATTCCCTCAACTGCGCGTGTCGTTCGAGTGGCACGTGGCACGTGGCGGCACGTGGTGTGCCGACCAACCAACCAACCAAGGCGAATACGAAGCCAGCGGACAAGAGGAAACAGAGAAAAGTGAGCATCCTTTCTTATTCCTTCCTTTCCGTATTTTTTCTGGTTTAGTATTCCCATTAATTTACTAGTAAAAATGTCTAGTGATGAGGCTAACGAAAAGCCAACTCCTTAAGAGAGTCAAGAACTAAGGGAGTTAAAAAAGAAGCGAAAATCCTATAGAGGAAAACTTACTATGTACTGCAATTTTGTAAAGAAATTTAGAGAAATTAACGTAGAAAAATTATCTGCCTCTCAAATATTAGATTTACAACTAAGAACCGAAGCTGTAGGGTCTATATACAATATTTTAGATACTATGCAAGAAAGGATCGATGTATTGTGTACCGATATAGACGAGCAATTAGCAGACCGTCAAAAATATGATGATGCCTATTTTGAAAATGTAGCTCATGCTAAATTAATGATAAATTCCAAGCAATCCGGACATGCCCCCAACCAAGTACAAGTTGTAAATGTTCAAAATAAACCAGAGACACAGGACATAATTAGATATCCTGAAATTTCATTACCATCATTTAGCGGAGGAATGAACGATTGGTTGGAATTTAGAGAAACCTTTGATTCACTAATTAACCAAAGTCAAATGAATAGTATTCAAAAATACAAATATCTACGAAGCTGCTTACAAGGTGGCGCTCTGGAGGTAGTCAGCTCACTCGAATTCACAAGCGAGAATTACTCCTTGGCTTGGAATCTACTCTGTGAGAGGTACAACAACCCACGTTTATTAATAAATAAGCATCTGAAAGGGCTATTCAATATGGAAACAATTTCATTTCAAGCTAGCTCTTTGAGGTCTGTCATAGATAATATATCCAA